AGCTCTCCATCGACCTCCTCCGTGAGATGCAGCGTACTGGCCCCAAGCTGTGATCCCCAAGGGACATGGAGCAGCATCTGTAGGGTGCGAATGATGTTGACGATGATGACACTCATGCTGCGTTGGATGATGATATGGATGACGTGGGTGGCAGCGGAAGAGCCTGGTGATGTCAGTTAGTTGGAGTCGATGATGTTGTTATAGAGATATCGATGACACTGACGGCAGCAATGAACAGCGTCATGTTGAAACTGATGATGTCTACAGACTATTGCGCTTTGCAGTACTGCATTGCAACCTTGACTCTTGTCTCAAAATCGAAAGCCAGTCCCACATGAGGATGTGGTGGGTGGTTTGGGCGAGCCATGACAAGTCTGACGAGTCCAAACCAGACGAAACCTTCTCCCCGCCAGGTTTGAATATGCCTACGCGCAAGGCGACGTACATGGGTGCCCTGCACGCTTGCCAGCAGGGAGCCTGGTGGCCAATTTTAGATTGACATGACGATCGTTGCAATGGAGATGAAGATGAAGAACTGCAAGATCTAGTTATATATAAGTGGTATCAAGAATATGAGGGTGACGACGATGATCAGGAGGGGCTGAGGCTGATGCTGCATCAGGTTCTATCAGATCTGCTGCAGCTCATGATGTCGGAGATGACCTTTTGTCGCAGTGACCCTTCTAAACCCTAAACCCTAGACCCTTCCCATCATCCTTTGCAGCCGTATCCTCGTCCACCTGATCCCGCCTCTCCCGTACCTCGCTCCTATCCTCCTTCAGGGGGTCGGAATAATTGATGATATTGTCCCGGCATAGATCCTATAGATCTTGTACTTACAGTTTCCCCAAAACTGTTTTCGAATTGTGAAGGACAGCACATTGCTTCGACTCTTGTAGCGGCCTTTCTGAAACAAGGGGTCCGTTGCGGTTTAGGAGGGGTCGGTCTTTACGATTGGGGTCCTTGCTTTTTCTTGGGCCTGCGGTTGGGCCTCCAACTCCCATATCGGCCGTACCAATCCATTACTTAGGGTCCTTGGCCGAGTGCCAGCAGAACCCCCAAACCAAAGTAGGCCTTTGACTGGCAACCCCCACTGATATTCCGTTTTCCATATTTAGCACCTTGAAGAGACAAGCTCGATTTACTCGGCACCTTAAGGCCTTATGGAGGAACTTGGTATTGACAGTGTCGAATATGGGAGTTTCCGAAAATTAGGGGTGCCTTATTCTGGGGGTCCTTATCATAAGAGTCCTACTATTTAGCGTACTATATTAGGGTCCCCTATTTTCGGAAACTACCACAGGGCCCACTGCCCTCAAAATCAAGGTGGGGCGGTCTCTGGCAGGATGCCATCAGTTTGATCGAGGTTGGATCCTGGAGGGGTTTTGAGCTCAGGGGACGAGACCTGGAAAAACAAAACAAAGCAATGAAACATCAAAAGAAAAACATAAATAAGCAGAGAAACAGAGGATGTTGGATGTACCGCTTGGGCTTGAAGATTTCAGCTTCGGGGTGCGGGGCTTCGATTCCGGCTTCAGGATTTGTCAACGCTCCAGGGGCGCAGATCCTCCAATGAACGCCACTCAGGGGGTTTAATATAAGAACTACCAATACTATTTTGGGGTCATTAATATAAGAATTACCAATGCTATTTTGGCGGGCTCCTTACTACAAGTATAGTATACTATACCCCAAAGCCCTATTCGAATTATTTGGGGGCTCCTTATTACAGTTCTAGTATACTATACCCCAGAACCCTATTCTAAATATATCAAGGCCCCTATATTACTCCAGGAGGAGGATCCCTGCGTTTCCGTGTGGCCTTGGGCCTGTCGTAGAGCCGAATAGCATCCTGTCAGACTGGACCCTGAACCCTAAACTTAGGGTTTAGGGTTTAGGGTTTAGGGTCTAGGTTTAGGGTTTAGGGATTAGAACCCTAAACCCAACAGGATGTTGGGTTGTGGGTTTAGGGTTTAGGGTTTATTCTTGGTCTGGTTGCTGAATAATACGGGGTCTGAGCAAGTAGCATCATCTATTGAAATGTTTTTCTGTATTCAAAAACTCTGGCCCAAATATTTTAGGCATTTTTAGGCCCCTATTAGCGGATGCAGAGCAGTGCAAAGTTTATGAGCGAGAGCCACCTGGCTCAGCAGCTTATAGTGACTGTGGTGACTACGCGCGTGCCAGAGAGCATCCGAAGCTTGGGTAGTTATGTTTAGTTTAGTTTGTCAGTTCTGGTGAATTTCTTCAAATCCGGTCAAGGTGTTTGTAGCTTTCATGCAGGCTGCAAGGTTTCTCCAAGAGGTTCCAAATGCTTCCAGCAGGAGATGGAGAACGATGCCCTGGACCCACAAGCTGTCGGCTTCAACAAGGCCTTCTGTAAAATGATAGACCACGATGGTCAACATTCTTTTTGAGACAACAACAACAACAGCAGCAGCAACACTTCTAATTAGTCTGCCAGCCTAGAGCCCAGCCTCACACCGAGCAAGAGCGTCTATCAGAAACAGTCACGGGCACAAGTATTCAAAAGTATCCCAAAATACACATGGCTTGGAAGCACCGAAGTCGCCGGAGTTTACAATCAATTCGGCTACTACTTTTACTGCGGATGACAACAACAGTATTTCCACCGACATTGGAAACATATCAGCGAACCTCGGGCTTTAAAAAGAAGTGTGCTTGTGGGATCTGGAACCCTTACCCCCCAGGTACCTACTATATAGGGTACTAGGGCTCCTAAGGCCCTATATAGTAGGTACCTGGAGGGTTAGGGGAACATGGTATAATGTACTCCAAAACCCTACTTAAAGGATCATGGGACTTAGTAAGTAGGGTTATTACGAAGGTACCTAAACTTATAACCCCAATTAGGGGACTTATAACCTTGCTTACTAAGTCCCATGATCCTCCAAGTATTCGACAACAGTTTCTGAGTGTTGCCCTTCTGGCAGGCCATGGATGCCTGCATGAACGCCCACCAGGACGGTTTAGGGTTTAGGGTTTAGGGTTTAGGGTTTGTAGGGTTTAGGGTTTAGAGTTTAGGGTGGGGGGGTCAAGAAATCCGGTTTCGGGCTTGTCGTGGGTAATGTGGGGCCTAAATAATTACCAACTCTATTTTGGGGGTTCCTTATCATAATTATAGTAATAGTATAACGGGCCCCATAGCCTTTTTCTACTTAGTAAGGCCTCTATATCATCTCTGATGATTGTTTGTATCCCAAGCCGGGACATGGCCAAGTAGTCCCCTGACACTCGGCATGTTGCCCAAAGCCACCGCATAAACTCTAAACTGGCCCCAAGCCTACTTCAGAGGATGACTGGTACGATATCATGGAAGACAAAGCGGCAGCTCGCGGCTACGAGATCTTCCTCTAGCGGCTGATTACTGCCGTCTCCTACCCCAGCATCCGTGAGAGGATGGAAGCAGCAATATTTGAGATTGAAATGCTTCAATCTTTTTAGTCAGACGGGAATGCAAGAAAGTAAGCTTTTGCAGAGTGTGTGAGCAGTAGACAAGTTCTCATTCTCTTCGCGGTTCAGGCGCAGGAATGCGCAGCGCAGCTCCCTGCTATCCATCGTGTTCCTCGCTAGGTTCATGTGGGCCAGTCTCACATTGAGCTACCTCCGCGGGCAACAACGCGTCTGCACCGGGAGAGTTTCGGTAGCCACATTGAGTCTGGGGCTTTCATGTCTTGGCACTGATCAAACTAGCCTTGCCTGCCTTCACTTAACAGAACTGGTTTCTCTCCTTTTGGTCGTTCTGTGACGTCACCGCTCCCTCATCCTTGTCCCGAGTCTTCCCCATCCTCTGGTTCGTCATCATTGTAAGCATCATCCTCATACTCGTCGTCCTGCCTCTCACTCTCATCATCAGGCATCATCACCACCATCATCATCCTCGTCCTCGTCCTCTTCATCATCGCCGTCATCGCCATCAGTCAGTTCCGATGACATCAGTATCTCCTTGCACATCGTTATCGTAAACACATCCGTATCATATTCGTCATCATCGTCGCCATCGTCATCGTCATCATCATCATCATCATCATCATCATCATTATCATCTCCGTGCCCCTCGCCTTAAAGATACTCGTCATTCTCTCATTGTTCTGTCATGTTGCTCGAGCCCGGCCGATTCAGAATGGAGCCGAATGCATTATTTTTCTGTCCCCAGTATGCCTGGGGCTTCGTATATTATGGTCAACGATCGCAGCGTGAGTGTTAAGATCCTCACGACGACTTCACATCCCTCTGAAACATACATACATGCATACATACATACATCCTTCCATCCATACATACGTATATATATATATACATATATACACACATATATATATATATAGATAGATACACAGATGTGTGTCTGTGTGTGTTTTGGTGTACATTTGTGTAAGTAGTTACACATCTTCATGACGGTCAATGCAGAAAAGTGTCTACTCAGCTGTCGCTGCATTGTGGCTCAACGCCAACTTCATCGTATGAGCTTGTTGTTGTCGCCCCGCTTTTGACATTAGTAGCAGAGTCCATGGCCGTGACAGCGAAGCCGCGAGAGATGCGTCAGAGTGCACCGTCCGGCCAACTCGACATCAATCGGTGGACCCAGGACCTCGAAAACTATGGTCGCCGCTGGTCTCACAACAACGCCTAACATTATCTGACACCCTGGGTACCTACTATATAGGGTACTAGAGCCCCTAGGGCCCTATATGGTAGGCACCTGGAGGGTTCGGGCTAGATCTCAAGAGCAGACGATGGTGGCTTGGAGCAGCTCTGCCAATGTCTGGATCCCAGCAAGCTCAGAGGTGCAGGTGTCGAGATGATGTGAAGAAACCTCCCAAACTAAGCTGGATCTTCGTAATATAGGGGCCTAAATTAGTAGTCATTATTCCTCAGTGCTTCTTACTACAGTCATAGCAGAAAATATGCCCCCAAGACCTTACTCGGGGCGCCTATACCAGTCTTCTCATCCATGTCGATGGTAAGGCTTGACGAGCATGCCTTCGTCGACTGCAGATGCGGGCAGCTTAATCAATCCAGTTGCTGAGGCTCGAGTCATTGTCATGGACCCACCGTATCAGCAGCTTTTGGGAACATTTGCAAGCCGCAAAGGCAAGTGCTATCACGTTCTCGTCTTCCCTAACAAACACTTACACCCGAAACTGGAGAGAAAAACTGTAATTATAGGGGGGGGGGGCCGTGGCTGGTTTCACACTCTTCTCATCCATTGCCAGCTCACAAGGAAGGAGGACAAGGAGGCGGCTAGAATGGGGAGCGATGCGGTTGACCAGCCGACTCATAGCTTACTATTAAGGTTTTAGGGTTTAGGGTGGGTTGCAAGACTGAGGGACTCTAATGTACCTCGGGCAGAGACAACTCCTGAAAATTCTACCAGGACGCCTTCGTTAGAGGATGTTAGAGTCTCTTCAAACGGCAGGTAGGCCATGTATCAATCCTTCAATCCCCATAAACACTGCAAGCCCTAAACCCATACAACCCCAAACCCTGAACCATAAACCCTAAACCCTGGAAGCCCTAAACCCATACAACCCCAAACCCTGAACCATAAACCCTAAACCCTGGAAGCCCTAAACCCATAAAACCCCAAGCCCTGAGCCCCTAAGCCTTCACCCCTGAAGCCGAGCCTTTTGCAGATCCAGCGCTCTCAAACCCCCATCCGGAAGGAAGACCATGGCGCTGAAGGGCAGCTCAAATGATGGCGAACCTCGAAACTCTAGAGCGGGTGAAATGCCCCCAAACCCCCATGCCCCTGCTTCATGATGGTGAGAGGAATGCGAATAACGAAAGATCGACGATATGACGACGAGCTTCGAATCAAGATGTGACCGATGTGTGCTGGTGCTGATGATGGATGATATCTGATATCGTCGAGTCTTCGTGATGTCAGCTACAACAACTGCTTGCCACGCATCTACGAAGTGCAAAGTTTGCTGTCAGACTCCTGCCATCGCGATTGTTCGCGCAATAATTGCCTAAGACATCATGCCTAGACCTTTCAACCCGAATCCCAAACCCTAAACCCTAAACCCTGAAGCCTAAGCCCCTAAACCCTAAAGCCTAAACCCAAAGCCCCTAAGCCTAAACCCTAAAGCCTAAACCCTAAATCCCATAAACCCTAAAGACTAAACCCTACAGCCCAAACAGTAACTTTTCCGTACAGTGCCTGATGCTCCGAGGCAGTCTCCGGCACCTATTGGGTCGAAGATCGGGGCCGTCACTTCTATGCCGGGGCCTGAGATGATCTAAGAGGTTTAGGGTTTAGGGTTTAGGGATCTAAGGGTGTACGCTGTTACGAGGCTTCTTTCTATGAGGGTTCTTCTGAAGGTGCCAATTAAGGGCTCACTATAACTCCGTAAGGGTTCTATGAGTTGTTAGCAGGGATCTATAAGTCTTTTTTGTGTTCTAAAGGAGCTCTGAGATCTCAAAAGCGAAAGGACTTGGCCCTCAAAGTTTTGCTTTTGGTTCTATGGGGGCTCCTAGAGGGGTTTCAATGAGTTGCTCTTGGCGTAAGGACCCTATATGTTTATCAGGGTTCCACAAGGGCTGTTGCAAGGGTTGTACAAGGGCTTGTAAGGGTTGTTTAAACGTGGATCTCCATATTAAGGGCACCGCTTTGTGTGGAAGTCTTATATTCAGGATGCTATCATTCTTGGGTCTATATTCGGGCATAAGACTTCTAGATTTTCAAAAGGACTTAGGGCGAAGAGTATGGGTGCAACTTGGGGTAGATGGCATGGGACACTGCGTGGAAGAGAGGACCGGCTTTGCTCATGCAGACCCAGGAAGGCTCCGAACTGCGGGGTGAGGGTTTAGGGTAATATAGGGGAATTAATTAATAATCACCTATGCTATTGTGGGGGTTCCTTATTATAGTTATAGTATACTGTACCCCAAAACCCTATTCTAATTTTCAAGGCCCCTACAGAACCCTAAACCTGATCCTTCCCACCCTGACGTCAGCCACAAGCCGAAGCCCAAGCCCAAAGAGAAGGCTAGATTTCGAGACCTCCAGACCTTGCATGATCCAGGACATGGTGTCCCGGGGCTCACCGCGCGGCAGCGGAGGTTGGGCTCTTCTGAGCTGCATGCATTTCCTTGTGGTAGAGTAGGTGGCCTCTAACCTTCTTGGGGTATGATAGCCCCTATACAATCCCTAAGGTTAACTTTTGAATCCGCTTAGGGTACTGACAAGCATGACTTAATTTTCTTTCGCTTGAGATTTTGGATGCTATTCGGCTTAGTCTACAGCGGAAGGTAAGGATCTGGGGACTACTCTCCACTGCCATTCTTGTTGCTGTTTTTTGTTGCGCGTCTGCTTGCGGGTGGTAGGGAGGCATCGCGATTGCAAGTTGTTCGTGGTAATGGGGGTCTGCATCTGCTTGGAGGATAGGGTGTTAGATGGGGCTTTCATCTCGTGCACCTTTCTTCTGAAAGCCCTGGACCCTAAAACTAAAACACCAGATGCTGACCCTAAACTTCCTAAACCCCCAGAGGTAGGTTTGTAAGGGCCCAACATCTATAAAGGGCTATTGTTGTTACGTACTTTTGGGGTCTAGGCAACCCCTAAACCCGCAAATTCAGAAAGTTCCTGCCGCCGTGTCGCAGCTGAGCGGCTCTGGCGTGTATGTTCTACCTTGAATCGGGTTTAAGGTTTTTGGGGTTAAGGTTCGGAAGATCTTTCTTGTGTCCTTGAAAGAGGATGTTGGTAGACAACGTCTGTATCTCCGTCTATCGCGATCGTGGCCAGGACGACTGGACCGTGGGGCGCAGTGAAGTTGGAGCCATATAAAAACCACAAAAAAATCTCTAATGCAACCCTTGAAGGACTTGTATGATCCCACAAATAGAGAACCTATACTACCCCCATAGAAAACCTATACTACCTTATAGAGTTCTTTTTTTCGCCGCTTACAAAACATCTGCGCTGGCCTCAACAACTCTGAAGACTGAGCCCAGGGCGGCCCTGGCCCCCCAAACCTACCGCAGGGGTTGGAAGACTTAGTGTTCTTGTATAAGCATATCCCCTCAAAGCCATAGTCTCATAGTCCGTACACATATATACGTATATACTGTGTATATATATATATATATAGATTTCGTGTAATGCCATCTGCCCCAGTATCCTATTCTAATTATGACGACTCCGTGTATTAGGCCAGCCTTCGGAGCGAAGCCGTCGCGGCAAGCAGATGGATCGGCTCAAGCACACTGAGTTGCAGGGGGCCACAGAAGGTTCCGAGGTTTAGGGATCTCGGGCTTAGGGATTTCGGGTAGTTCGGGTTTAGGACAAGATAGTTTAGGGCGCATCTGGCTGCAGGGAGCCACAGAAGGTTTCGATCGCACCGCAGGCAGCTGCCACAGACCAGCCTCAAAAATCAGTGGCCCAGTTTACCCCTGAACCCACGGATAATGCATATTATACATGAAGAAAATAGTTCTTTGCTCTAGACTGTTGACTTAAGCCAGAGTGTCCGAAACTGGAGCCCTTGTGCAGACTAGGCTTGGGGTTTGTGTTCTCCTTTGGTGCCATGGATTGTGCCCAAACTGCGCAGAGCCTCTTCTTGAAATCTGACAGGCACTGAAATGTCACCCCTGCCTAAAGCCCAGATTCAGGGCCTGAGTCCTGCAAGCAAGATATCGAGCTCGGCATATGTACGCTTACATACGTAATTAAGGTGTGTAGATCGGGTGCGCAAACTCTGCCTAAAACCCCCAAACCCTAAACTCTAACGCCCTGCGCTGCAACCTCCCTGCCCCCACAACCCTAGTAGACCTGCAAACCCTGAACCCTGAAAGGCCAAGAGCACGCAAGCCCTGAACCCTAAACCCGAAGCCATGAAACCCCAGAACCCCCACAACCCTATATAAACCCTACAGAAGTCTCACAGTAGGCCGAAAGCAAAGCCCTTACCCAACGGAATCCTGTGTAAGGCCTGCTTTGGAGAGCCTAGACGAGCTGCTGGCCAGGATCGCAAGTTTGGCTTCTTTAGGGTTTAGGGTTTAGGGTTTAGGTCCAGGTTGAGAAAAGGGGTTTCATAGGGTTTTGTAGGATTGTAGAAAGGTTCTAAAGTGATTTTCAGGGCTCTGCGGCCGTGATACTTTAAAAGGCTTTGGGAATGTGTTCTTACAGTCCTGTAGGTCTGGTCAGGTTTGGTCCTAGGGCCCTAGGGCCTTGATAGGTGGCATAGGGTGTGTGGGGTATATGCTAGTACAAGTAATATAGGACCTTAATGATTACCTATACTATTTTTGAGGGGGTTCCGTATCAAAACTAGACTAGAATATACCCCAAAACCTTATTCTAATTTCGAAGGCCCCTACAGTATGGGGGTCCAAAGCTTGACTAAGATGGCCCAAGATACTGTGCCGCTACCAGCGGTTTACGGTTTGGGGTCTTGGTTTCGGGTTTATTGCAGGGTTTCGGAGGTTGGGGTTTAGGGTCGTTACTGCAGGGCCCATGGCCCTGAACCCTAAACCCTAAACCCTAAACCGCTTAGTGTAAAGGTCTCCAGACACCTTGGTAGAGGCCCCCTACGTAATCCTCAGTCGTCGTATCTAATCGTACGGTAGGTGTTTGTACGGTGTAGCAATGTGCAGGTCTGCACATCTTGTCTCTCAGCCTGCCCTTTTTTCCGCAACATACCCCTCAAGCCCCATTCTTATCATTATCTGTCTTGAAGACCCAGGCGGAATTCACGAAGCCTAGGAAACAGGCTGTGAAACTCTAACTTGCAAGGCACCCCAAACCCTAATCCCTAAACCCTAAACCCTAAACCCCAAACCCTGGATCACAAGCATACTGATGTGCAGGACCCGAATCATCTCAGAGTTGGACACGCAACGGCAGAACGAGGTGCTCAGATGTCCACCTGTTCTTGTTCTCGAACTTCAGCCTGCAGTTGGTTGGAGCTTGTAGGGTTTAGTGTAAGGCATGTCGCTTGGTGAGTTTAGGGTGGGAGGGGCGGACGGGCTGGGA